TATAAGAAAATTAAAACGCATCTGCGATACAATCCACTTTACTTAAAGTACATATCACCATTTATGACAAAAGCAATCTAACGGAAATTGTCACTTCTATGTGAACATGTCTGTAGTCTTCCTATAAATACGTATCAAATCTAAAAATAAATCCGCCAAATGTACCTCTGGAAAGAAAGTCTGCGCAAGTACCGCTAAATTCTAATATACGCAAATAATATATATTATAAAACTTCAAAGCGTTATTCTTGTAAAATGGTTTCTCCTTATTTTCTCTTTTTGTCTCATTAAAATTTGTTAAATAATTAAGTACATACACTGTTAAATATTATATATATTATAATTTGCAATCGCGCATTTATATTATTTATTGTCAAGTTTCTATTGCAATTATTATACACGAAAATTGGATCAATCGATTTTCCGAAATTTTTAAAACAGTTACCGAGCTGCACGACTATTTAAACAAAAAACAAAATATAAATTTAATTGATACATGATGTAATTTTCGAAAATGGATTTCCTATAGAAATTAAATGTGAGCTCATAAATTTAGCAAAAGTTTATATTATTCTGCAAAACCATTTATCAACTCTTATTTCCCATACAGCAATATAGCTGCAAAATCTCTGCAATGTTGTAGCAGTGTTGCTGCAACTTTTGTGCAACTTTGTGCTATTGGGGTTGTTTATTATAAAACTCATAAATTAAAACAAAGTATATGTCATTTTTCGTCATCAAAATGTTTGGCCAATTTTCTCTCTGTACAATTATTAATTTTTTAATACATTTAATTCAAAATCTGTTTAAAAATTAACAGCGTAGTGTGTATTGAATTTATTCGCGGTTTACTAGTGAGAATACTAATATAATATGTATAGATATGTTCGAGCTTTTACTATTTTCACGTCAAATTATGTGTTACTGTTAATTGTATAATAAACGACCGTTTCTATCGCTATTGCACATTGATTCTAATGAATAATGGTGAATTATGTTCCATATAATTAATATTCAATCGACATATCGCAATTCGGCAATAGTAAATGTTCATTATCCGTTTCCGAAATCACATCAGCGGCAGATAATGTCAGTACACTTCATATTATTTCGCATCAATATCGCACGTTGAATGAAATGCATCAAACACTCATCTGTTCTACATAAAACGATTAAATAAAGCGGCAAAATACGTTTAAATCATTACTAATGTAAAAGTGTTAATTTTCATGACAATTTCAAGTTTTACAATTAACACAAGGGTTAATTTTGAATTATAGAAGTAATTGTAACATTATAAAGACTTTTTAATCAAACTTAATTATAATGTAACTTTTTTCTTTCGAAGAATGTAGAATCGATTTTTTAAAGACTTTTCCGAAAATCTAATTCTTTATCAAGTTATGAAAATTAAATATTCGTGATTTCAGAATGAAAAATTTTTGATGTAACTATAAATATTTTAAGTATATACATATATCCTTTTAATAAAAGAACGATCTACAAAATTTTATATAATTCAAAATTAAGTAGTCCACGGTTCCGAAAACGAGAAGGAGTTAAAATTACATCAGACAATCTTTATATTTATTATATACATGAAATGCAAATAAATAATTCTCATTTAAAATGTATGAATCAGGAAATTTATATCGTTTGATTTCCAATCGTTGTAAATTGCAGAAGATTCTATACCTCAGATATGTCAAAGTTGCGTATTCCCTTCACTTTTGGGCACTTGGTCTTATCCTCCCGTCTCTTCCAAACACTGCCGGCGTCGCCGATGAGAAATCCGATGACGAGCAGCGTTATTGTCAACCAGTAGAATCCCGAACGTCGTCTCGTTCCGGGATGCATCTTTACCGTGCATTCAGATTCCGCTCACAATAAACGGTACAAGCTGATCGGCTGGATCGCGCGCGACGTCTCTCCTCGACTGTCGGGGCTTGCTCAGCGACTAGAGGCCACGTACATACCGAATGTACGAAGAACGGACGCGCGGTTCATGACTATTACACGGACGAAGAGGGGGTGGCCACTATCACGTTCCTCCCTTTGCATTCTTGCTGTTCCTTCGTTTTCAATCGGCAACTTGTTCCGCACGTACAATCCTCATAACTAGCGTCGGCTGGGACCCAGGACTCGTAGGCGTGATCGCCGTTTATAGCTAAAGAGACACGCTATACTCTCGAGTCACTCGTTTTCTCTGGATTATCCTGTTCTCTCTGGCTTTGTTCCCGAATAGAACCAGTGAAAGACCTCACCTCTGTAAGATTTTCGCGATCCTTTCACGATTGTGAAGTTTACGATCGTGAAATTTTATTTTTCGTAAAAGAGTTGAATTATATTCTCTCTCGTACTAATGATAATCGACGTGGTGATTTAACAAAAATACACAAAATTAATACATAAAATAATATAATGTGTATATAAAGATAGGGATTGCAGAAATAGAGATAATTTTTCGGTTATCAACATGATTGAAACAATTTTATTATTCAAATTAATATACAACAAATAAATAAACATATAAATTTTATTTTAATTCATATTTTAAATATAATGTGCACTTCGATATAACAGTACAAAAAAATATTTCTATAATTCAAATGTGAATCAGCAAGGAAATAATACACATGTATTTATAATATATCATTTTACATTAACTTTTTAAAAAAATAATATATGAGTATATATATTTAAAAATGAGATGTATATATAGCTTAATTCATATAGTACGCATAGATATATTCATATAGTATACATAGGTATATCTTCATTAAACAATAACACACTTAACACTGATTAATTTGAATACATTGGACGTGACGATACAATGCAACGCAATATATTCATTATGTATATGAATATGTAATGACGTGTACAAATTAGGATAAAGAAATAGCAATGTAATCGATGCACTTTACCATGAACTTATTGTTTTTTTATTGGGTTAAGGACATGTGAATTAATTAGCTGGTTTTAGCAAAACATTTTTTCTGATTACTTTTGAGATGTTGTCAAAGTAAATGGTTTTGCAAAAAATGGATACATAAGATTTTTGAGAGATGATTTTAATAATGACTTCAAAGTTCTGAGGATGATGCTTTTGAGGATGAAATATCGAAATATTATGTTTATGGATGGAATTCAAATGCATTTACACCAGTAATTAGTTTTGTGAAGTGTTTGAAATAGTTATATCACTTCGAGAACGGCAAATTCAGTACTATGATTATTATCCAATAGAATTAATGTACATAAAACTTAAGTCGATTTATTTCAACTTATAGCAAACATTTTAAAAAATAATAAAACCAAAAATAACAACAATTTATTGATTTATTTATGAGTTTGTAGAAATTTTTTGTCGCTCAAGTACATGTATGTACATACGTGGTACATATCTACGTATTGATTATTATTCACCATGCACAATTGAAAATCGATTTGGTAATAGTACAATATCTCTTTAAATCTCTGATATCAATATGCAGCAACCTACTCGAAATAAACGTGTTTAACATACGATATTCATACGAAAAATTTTATTCACGTATATATGACAAATTCTGATTATAATTAATTTTACATTTTAATTATATGAAATTTATATAGGAATTTAAGCTATACGAAAACTTATGGATTATATGCGTTACACCTTTCTTTTTTAATAATAATTAGATAAATATATTTATTTTTATTCTATGCATTTTACATTTAGTTGCATTGCTTCAATTTACTAAAAAAAAAAGGAATGTATACTTGTGTTGTAATAGCTTGAGATATAAAATTAAAAAAAAGTTTAAAAATTTTCTTATTATATTAAAGTTTACATATTATTGCAACTGAAAATTAAGTTGTCCTCTTTAGGCAGCTCAAAACTTTGTGTTTGCGTTTCTCCAACAAAAAAGAATAACGTCAGATTTACGATTTCAGATCTGGTTACATTCAGATCATCTAATTGTAAGTTTAAAAGTTTAATTGCTTCCCTGTAAGTAAATCATAAAATTAAGTTTATCGCTAGGATGAGAGTTGTTTGAGCAAAATAACTTCATCGACACTTTAATCGTAAATTGTTGGACTGCATAATCTGTTTATTAAATGATTACATATGACTTTTACGACATCTATCAAGAGACGCGGTAGCCTCTTTTACGCCAAGTATATTTTTCGTAATGTACATTTCTTTCATACTTAAATGAGATGCTATGTATTTTATAAGAAACATGTCTTTGGAATCCTTTACAGGAAAAGGAACGCAAATATAAATGTATATGTGTATGTACATAAAAAGATATTATTGATTATATTTGCGCGGATGTATACATGAAACAGTTCATTCTAGAAACGCAATGAATACGCTGAACAATCTGCTACATTGATAAACTTATTATCATTTCGTCAGTTTATTATTTTATCACACATCCTTTTCCTCTACGACAATCACACTTACGAAAATATTTCGGACCGCAAAAACTAATGTCATGATAAAAATTGAAGGCGTCGGATATTTAAATATAAAAGAGGTATTGGGTGTTAAATTAATGCTTTTAGCTGGAATTAGTTGAAAGAGAATAAAACCAAAGAGAAATAAGGAATATTAGATTAAAGAGGCTAGGAGATTACCTCAAAAAAAATATATCTTAGCAAAATATACTTGTAATAGTTATATGAAAATTAATACGAATTATAATGTTCAAAGTTTATATAAAACAACAATGTTATGTTTTGTTAAATTTATGTTATTCCGCTATCGATATATAATATTATAAAATCATTTTATAAATCTTTACAAAACCGCAAAAGACATGAAGTAAGTAAAAATGTACATCTAAAAGTCATCTACACGTCAAAACACAAACAAGAAAAATTATCGTCGGTCATTTTATTTTAAACAAAATGGTACTGAATTTGTATTCTCGCGATGGGAAAATAGGTAAAAATTTCAGCAAATCAATATAATATGTGAAAAAATGTTTTATTCAATTTTTGTCTTGCAGAAAAATAGATTGGTATTTGTTCCATATAAAAAATTTATTACTGCTAATTAAGTACACTGTACTCTGAATTCAGTTGCCATAATCGAGCTCATCTATGCCTTCGGATTCGTTGTCATCGTATGTTATGCGTCATTTCCAAGGAGGCTTGTTCCTTTGATCTATTTTTGTAAGCATTTTTTGCGGAAGTGGAATATGTTCACTAATATCGTGTACAGTCTAGTAGAGAAAGTGATATTATTCGTGTGTGTTATATATATATATACAGGGTGTTTCCAAATTAAATCGCAAAACTTCGGGAGCGTGTAGAGGAGTAAAAAACTAAGAAAAAAAGTCCTATAGACATATGCTCGTTTTTGCTCCGTTTCAGAGAAATCGAAAAAAAATGTTTACATTTCTTGCCATATCTAGCACCGACATATTTGATTACATTTTCCACTTTCTGTTATGAATTTGTCAGTCGCTCTTTGAAAGCCTTTAACAGTAGATGAATTTTGTCTTTTGCAATATGCCGCGTACGTATTCTAATAGTGAATATGCTGATATGGTTTTTGTATACGGTTTCTGCAACGGTAATGCTTTAAAGGCGGTGCGAGAATATGCACGACGATTTCCAAACAGAAGAGTGCCAAACCGAAGAGTGTTTATGTTGACATTTAATAGATTGCGAGAGACTGGATCATTTTCAATTCGACAAGAAAACAACCGATTTCAAGCAGCGTTACGAAGAGATTTGCAGGCAGGGAATCGTATTTTACAACATTTTGACAATCATCCTGAGACCAGCGTTCGGAATGCGTCGGCTGTATTGGGAGTGTCACCACAAACAATTTGGCGAACTGTAAAAGGAGATAATCGCTATCCCTACCACATTCAAAAAGTGCAAAATACTTAATTATGAAATTTTAAATAAACAAACCTCAGGACTTTGTTCCCACGTGACGCTATCCTCACTCATACTCAATTCCTTTTTTAAATAATGTTTCCGCGGTACCTCTCTGCATCCTAATGGCGGACTCGAAATACTACTTCTGAGTTTTGGATCTTTGTCTTCTTTTGCTAACTGCATTTCTGCAATCTATAAAAAATTTTTTTACATTTGATCGTAAATACCTTTTTAAAATTATCATCTGTATATATTAATCACCATTTTCACATATTTACGAAGGTCATCCTTCGATTCATTTTTACTGGTTAATAGCGCATTTTCGATGGAATTCATTGTTATCACGCTTTCATTTTGATCTTCAACAGGTTGTGCACTAATCAAATTACGTGCTTCTAGCGATTGAGCGGTATGTTTCATTAATTCCTGAGAAAGTTTAGTGTAACAATTTGGCATTGATTCTGATTTTTTAGGACCTTTAGAATCAAAACATTTATCTCCGTGAATTTTTTGAATCGAAGAAATATTATCCATGTTACTCCCTGTAATAATATTTTTTTAATTTATGCACAAGTGTTATAATCATGATGATATTAACAAATAATTGTATGTGAATTCATACATATTCTGTAACTAACCTGATATAATATGTAGAGCTTGTTGCCACTGCTTTTGCATAACGGAATGCAATTGTTCTGCAAGTTGAGATTTTGTTGCACGCTGAGAATTCAAATGCTTTTCTAATAGAGATGATTTCTGTAAAGCTTGAGCTAATTGCAATTCGCATAATCGTTTTTCCTCTTTATGTTTTTCTTCTAGCAAATTTATTTCTAAACGATGTCTAAAAAAATCCAAAAAATATGTATATAACTCAGAAGATTAATTCGTATATATTTTATTGCGCTATTATATAAAAATGTATAAGGAACGGACTTATCGATAACATCCTTTATCTTCCTAGCAGCGCATTCAGCTATAACTTGCTGTCTTGTTTTTAATTCCTCTAAAAATTCTGATTCGGCATTATCAAGTTGCATTTGAAATTCTTGTAATTTTGCTTTTACCACTTCATCCACCTGTTTCTGATAAACTTCTTGTAATTCTGCTCTGATTTTTTCCTTTTGTTCTGCAACAGACTTGGTTTCATCTTTAGCTAATTTCTGAAACAATAAGCACAAATAAGTACACGGCTAATAAAATTATAAAACTTGATAACTGTGACAAATAGTTCAATTTATATATTACTTCTGCTTTCTTAGCGTCGTCAATGGATACGAGCAACAATGAATTTTTCTGTTCTAAAATAGAATTTCTATTTATCTCTTCTTTAAGCTTAAGTTGCAAACTCTCTTTTTCTTGTCTGAGTACTGTCAACTCAGCTTCACAAGTATCTAATGCTTTATGAATAACACCCATCTCATTTCGCACTTCTCCTCCCTTTAAACGTTCTTTATTCAGTTCCGATTGAACAGTTCTTAACATTTCTTCATTTTGTTGATTCTTCTCTAACAATTTGTTAAATTCTATCTTCATTTGCTCATATCTATTTTCTGCTTCTTGAACTAATGATTTGTAACTTTCTAATTCGTCTGCGTGAATTTTTAACAGATCAACTTTCTCTTTGATCATAATGTCACTCTTCTCTTTATATCCAGCTGCCAAATCTAAAGCTTTCGATAACTCTCCTTCCAACCGTTTGACTTGTGTTTGAAGTTCTAACATCTCAGACTGATGCTTTTCTGTGATATTTTGCAAATTAGTCTGTGAATTTTTATGCTCAACTTTTAATATTTCGACTTGTTGCTTTAATTTAGACCAGGATGTATGAAATTGAGATATCAGAACATTTTTTTCATTGTCCACTCTAACTGCTACTGCCACTTTTTCTTGTTGCTCCAACAAACGTTTCTGAAGTTCTTGAATGAGATGTTCGCAATGCTAAAAATAAATAAAAAATAAACTACATTATTCTTATGTCATATACTTATAGTGTAGTTTTACAATACCTCTCTGCGAAATTTCTCTTCTTCTATCTTGATTCTAAGCGTTTCTTCTTGTGATCTAGTTGGATTAGAATCCCAGAAATCCGAAAGTGATAAAAGTCGTTGACATTTTCTATAAATAAATTTTGTAATAATTCATTAATAAGATTGTAATTTGCATTAAAATTCTCCTTAAATAGTAATATTTTACTCTATATACATATTTAAAAAATTAATATATATTAAAAGATTTATAAAGTACCTTAAATAAAGATCTGTATTTGTTCCGACGTGTACAGTATTTTTATTAAAATTAGATTTTTCTTTATCGTGTAAATTTTCATTACCCTGTGATATTTTACAAAGATCTAAAGGTTCTGTATTATATTGTACAGTTTTCGATGGCATATCAGAAAACCTAACTGAATCATTAGTATGTGATATAGTATTTGTAACGCAAGATTTTGATGGAGTATATATACTGCTTGCATTTGTTTCATCCATCAGTTGAACGTTTGATTCTGGCACTAATTCCTTTGGTTTAGCATTGTCAATCGTAGCTGATACATTAAATGAATGATCTATATTTTTTGTATTTTGTAACGTATATCCATTTGGTTTTATAACAGGCTGCTGAACGTTTCGTTCCCACGTTTTAAATTCAGAAATTATTTTATCAGTCTTATTTACATGGAATGAATCATTATACGGCAATGATATATCAGGGAATGTATTATTTGTTTTCTTTTGAGAAAAGATTGACAAAGCATCAGTAAGTTGAGTATCTTTGTTCTCCCATGATTGAAAATCTAATTTACGATGCGCATCAAACTTATGATGTGCTTCTTTTTCTTGACTACTTGCATTATTAACAGTTTCAGTCGATAACGTTGGAAGTAATTCACTGCGATACTGATATCCACTAGGATTATTTATTCTTTTTGATAATGCTAATTCGGTAGCTTCCATTTCTTGGAGCAACTCGTCAACCTCTGATAGTTCCATCTCTTGTACTATTCTAGAACGGGTATGCAGTTGACCTATTGATGCATTAGATGAATTTGACACAGGTACTGTTGAATGCAAGGAATTATGGGGTTTACAATACAAGTTACTTGTACAATCATTTTGTCGAAGAGATAAATAGGAGTCCTTTGTCGCAGACATAACAGTGGCATGCGAGAGCCCAATACCACAGGAAGCAGGAGGTACCACAGAGGAATCAGAGTACGAAGTTACAACATCATGCTTAGCCCGAGTGAGAGTGTTAGTATTAGTTGAATTAGAAGTTGCAGTTGTCGAAAGATGACACCCAGATGATCTCGCGTCTTTCTTCAAGAAGTTAGTACAGCTCTGCGACGAATATCCATTGGGAGTGGAAGGAACGGATAGAGATTTACGCAGCTTCACGGGGGAATTTTGCAAGCTGGATCCTTGACTTACGGAGAACCTAATTCTGGGTAGGGTCTGCCGTTGATAAGGATAGGACGCACTCCCGTGGACTGGCTGAGAGTCGTTAAGCAAACTGTTCGGCGCAGAAATGTCCAGGCTATTATCTCTGGACTCGATCGCAGAAATTCGGGACTCCAATGATTGCATATGTCCCACCAGCTCCGAGATAACACCGGTCCTCCCGCAATCCGTTCTGACGTGATTGCTCGAGCTGGTGTCGGAATCGGAAGACGGTACGTGGAATATGTCAGGCGGGATCAGGAGCAAAACATCTGTGTCATCGGACTCGCTCATTATCCATCTAAACAGTCGTCTGCCACCGATAGCAAATTATTAAGCGACTACCACAGGCCAGTCGATATTTGCAAAGCGTTCGCAAAGCGTCCCGTCATTGATGTTTGTGTATGTACAGTGGAGAAACAGCCAGCGTCGCGACGTCGCGTACCGGTTAGGTTAGGTTAGATTCAATTTCTTGCAAGGTGTATTTACGGAAGGCTCGTTATGCGAAGCGTATATTATGTGTTCGACTAGCTCATAAATGGCGATTAATCATTTCCAGTTCGCCGTGGACAAGCCGCATCACGAAGATATACACAGCTCCGAAAATTTGTAAACAAACTTGAATGACACTCACGCCACGAAAGACAACATAACCCCTTATTAGTTCAATGAACTCTATACAAGTACAAGCGTAGAGAAAGCTGACAATGAGAAGTGAGAGGGATCAGCCCGACATTTTACACAGAATTGTCAAAATCGTCCACTAGCGCCAGTACATCCATTTTTAACTTGGAAACTACATATATAGTTAGTTGCGTATTGGCGATAGAATTATGGTGTCGGAAATAAATGTGATGCGAATTCGCAGTACTATAAATCGCATGCTAAATTGCTTTAAAAACAAATTATAATATAAATTATAATTTGTAAATCGTAAACAAAAAATATACATATTACTTAAAGTGTTATAACACACTTCTTTAAATCAAGATATTAATTAATATAGCAATATAATTCATTACATTATTGCTCATTCGCTTTTGCAAAATTAATGCCGATGTAATTTCGTTGAGTTTATTTTCCAACGTCGTATATAAAAAAACCTAATGTCTTTTTCCGTTTCATTTATATTTCATACACAAATGAAGGTTATGATTATTAGAATAATTTAATATTTAACAATAAATCGAACTGTTGCGAATTAAGTTGCTATATCAAAATATTTTGATTAAAAAAATTTTGATATAGAACTTTAAATAATAAATATATTTCTATATATTTACGCAATATTTGAATGACCTACAGTTTATAATTTATATCATGTTTTTTTTTCTTTTGAAGAATGCTCGTTATTTCGTAAAAGCGCATTCCGGAGGCGTACAGGCTCCTCTATCTTCACGAAACGCATCGTCCCAAATTTCGAAAAAGAATGAAGTTTTTCGTGGGCAAGTAGCGTTTATATACCACATCCGAAAGCTTGCGCGATCCAATGAGCGCCCGCAGCGAGGCAATGCGCTCATTGGCTGGCGTGCAAGTGGTGGGGTTCGCAGTCTGACGACTAATATAAATAGCGCGTAATTCCCAATTTCGCGCTTTTGCGAACCGAGCAGGGGACGGAGTATGTCCTGTCATTTTAACGTTGGAAAAGTTCGCAACTCTGTCCTCGAATCAATTATGACTTTTTCTCCAATCTCTGCACAGAATCTCTAGGAATATAAAACGACAAGAAACGGCAAGAAAGGATCGTCCATCGATGGATTTATTTATTATGGTAATCAATAATTAATTTTGCCTTTACTTCTTATAATAGGTTAAATATCGCATATTGTATAGAATCTAATATAGTACTAGCACACTGATTATTCGGACGAAAGTATCTTACTCAATAGGTACTCGGTTGAAAATCGAGACGCGCGATCGTGTCATCGCGGCTCGCGTCGCTTCTTTTTTTTATGCGTGAAGTTAACCGCACGTGGAAAACGACGCCGCTTCCCCATTTTGATCGCATTCATATTTCATTCGCGGAATGCGGCGGATAGGGAATGACACGGCGGAATGGACTTGCTCTCAGACGAGTGACAACGCGATTAAATATGGTAATCAAACCTGCATAAAACCTGAATGTATGACTTGAATGTATATTGTATCGATATTTAACTATCGCGTGACAATGAGATTTTCGAATATCAATCTACAATACGGAAATAATAATCATCATAAAAGATGAGTGTATATTATATATAATATACCCCCTACAGCACAAACGTTGCAGCAATATTGCTGCAAATTCTGTGCTGTATGGGTACGCTTGCCCTTTATGGTTTTTCCGCATTTCGAGCATCAGATGTATCTCGAAATACGGAAAATTCATGAATGCGACGCCAAGAGTGAGAAGCGTAGCGTCACTACGCCGCGTCGTTCGCATCGCTTTTGCACGCGAAATTAACCGCGCAAAAACGAAGTTTCCCTTCGCTATCTTAATCACAACTGCGCTTCATTTACACATCTCCATCTGTAAATGAAGCGTAGATGTAATTAAGAGGATGATTGGCATCGTGATCATATGATAATTGAAACTTATATTAAATTTGTATTTGTCGTTTATTGCAACACTAGTTGGCGCAATTATAGATTCAATATTTACAAAGAGAAGGATGCACATTGCCACCGTGCCGCGACAGCGCGTCGCTCTTGGCGTGTGAAATTTAGAGTTCCTATAATAAGAGTTAAACATGAAGCGTTCTACCCGCGTGATTGGTCAGATATCGACGCTGCTATATGTAGAACCGTGTGAAAACGTGAGTCTGTGTAAACGTCTGTGTACGTGTTAGTGAAAACTCCTCCTCTTCCTCCTCACAAAATGGTCAAGCCTGTTTCTCACCTTTCTTCTCTTCCCATTGCTTGCATAAAAAATTAGTCATTTCTTCCCGTTGTTTTATTTCGATGATTAAAAATAATTAAAAAAAAGAATTAATCTAAAACATTACGGAAATTTATTCTCATGAAGACAATTTTGAGAAAATGTATTATATAATTATTTTAATGGATATATAATTGAAAAATTATTGAAAAATCATTGAAAAATTCAATGTGTATAAAAATTATTTTTTTAATTATTGATTATTTTGAACGCTTTTTTAATTTGGATCTTGTTTTGTATGTTACAGAATCATGTAGCCACGTAGCTAATAACTCCACTGCTGCACATCGATCGGTCTTTTTTCTTCTCTTATTGGCACGCGCAGCCAATCTCGGCCGCGATCAGGCCATTAGCCAGTCAATGAAGGTGTAATAAAATATAATGAAGAATTTCCACGGCTTTGTACTGAGAGGTCGGGGCATCGGTCGGTGAGTGGCAAAGATTTTATCAGGTAACGAAACGTTTCTATGAAAAATGTAGCAGATCTATCATTATATTAGAAACGAGTATAACACTTTATAGATCCGTTACTTTAAAATGGATTAGCTATAAACGATTATGATACATATTTAATCTTGGATTTGTCTATAGTTATTTGTCAACTTGATCAACGTCTTGGTGTGCTATTATGTTTATACTCGGGAAAAAAATTTTTCAAATGTAATTATATAAAATTATATATAATTTATATATAAAATATGTATATATATAACATTTTTTCCCGGGTGTTCACACAAGTATACATATGAAAAAAGAAAATGAAAGAGTTCAATAATGAGTTAGTGTTAATTATATAATAAATTATATAATATTAATAAAATTATATAATATTAATAAATCAAGTAAGAACATAAATATATTTAATTTTATTGAATTATTATTTGATTCACAATTTACACAAGAAATAATTAAATTTTTAAATTCAAAAGAATATCTGACAAAAATTCTTTTCTTTACTAGCAATATAAATCTGAAAAAATATTTATATACAAAACTGCATTTTAATAAAAATAAGTTTGATGGATATAAAAAAATTATTGAAATAATTGATTTTTAAATAAAAATGGATGAAATATTACAGCAAAACCTATAATTAAATGAGTTACGCATTTATTTTCCTTAATCCCATTCCCAAATATTCATCCAAGATTAAATATGCTATAAATTGATGCAAAGAAAAATTATGTATATTTTCAAAAATATTTTTTTAATCTGTATAAATAAAAAAATTATCCTTTACAAGAAAAAAAATACAAAAATGTTATTACAACGACTGACTAATCTCATTTTACACATGTACATATATATATATAAAATGCAATACTACATACTATATGACTATAAATAATTAATTCTTGAACGTACCATCAATTTTAACGTAATATCTTGAACGTAACATCAATTTTAACATAATAGTTTGTAGCTTATTCATTTGGTTGATTGCCAAAACAAATTTACAACAAATAAAGCAAAATAAATGACATAAAATCTCGTAAGTTACTTGTCCCAGAGAACACAAGAACTTTTTAAATTATATTAACGTTTCCATCAAAATTTTTCTATAAAAAAAACTTTCATATAATACTTTCATATAATATATATTATAACTAGATATAAGTGATACAACAATGATATAAATGATGATGCAACTGATAAGGAGCTTATAAATCATAACATAGGATTTCTTCGCGTAGTAGTATTTAAATGTACATATCGTATATAAAGATAATAAATTATAGACGTTTCGGTCAAAACTGGACCATCTTCAGTATAATGTCAAAACGATAAAAAAAACAAGTGTATAATTTAAAGAAATGATGGAGTGCCAATATGTTAAAACTATTATTAGCGCGATTAGTACCAAGATTTTTACATCAGATAAAACATAAATAAATTATCTAGTCACTACGAATGCAGTCATAATGTACTGGGTGTATGATGATTCATTTCTTATTCGTTGTATCTTTATAATCATTTCCATTTCACATAAACGTTGTGCGAACACAAGGGTCCCAGGCATAATTTGAGATATTCATATTGTAAAATTAATATAAATTACTAAATTATGAGTTATATTGTTAACAAATTTTTTTAAATAAAACATACCTGTGTTAGAAATAACGATTACTTCATAATTATATCGAGTTTGAAGATATTTTTCAAAAATCAGATAGAAAACGGAAACTTACTTTAACAACGTATGTAACATGTCCGTGGTCAAAATGATCGGTGTCGTGATAATACAGAGATTTTTTTTTTATATAAATGTAATGAATTATTACACTATTACATTGAATGTTATAAAGAAATACTTTGATTTGCAACAGCGTTTGCATTTAGCGTGACATGAAGATAAAAATATAAAAATATAGTTAGGTGTATTAATTGCCATAAAAATTTATTACACCATTTAGTTTAAAATCAATATGTTTTAATACGTCACATTTTTAATATGACGAAATCGAGGAACGACAAATTAACCAAAAGTAAATATAAAAATTATAAAAAACAATTCTAATTCATGCATCGTAAAGAACCAATCCACGAACTTGTTCAAGAACTGTTATTTTTTGTTTTTCCGTCATATGTTCTGTTTAAAATCTCCATTCTTAGTAGCTCCTCCGTCCCAGCTCTCTCAATATCTTATTCCTTTCATAAATTTTCTTTAATTTTTCGTGTGTCATTTAATATTTCTGTTACAGCTTCCTCATGGCACGTGCAATAAAAACGGTACGTTTTTCTTCAGAAAC